GGTAAAATTCAGCAGAAGTCTTATGGTGGTGATATTTCTGGGATTAAATGTTATCACTGTAAGAAGGAGGGTCACACAAGAAAGGTGTACCCTAAGCGCCTGAATAACCATGGAGGTAAGGACAATGGAAATGCAACTATTGTAAAAGATGATTATGAATCATCTGATGTCTTTGTAGTGTCGAGTAGCAACTCTTGTAAAGAGTGGATTATGGATTCTGGATGTACTTGGCATATGACACCAAACAAGAATATGTTTGAAGAATTATGTGATCAAGATGGTGGATCAGTGCTGTTAGGAAACAATAAAGCTTGCAAGATTACAAGTATTGGATCTGTAAGATTCAAGCTCCATGATGAGTCAATAAGACTATTGACTAGGGTTAGGTATGTACCTGACCTTAAGAGGAATTTAATTTCTCTTTGTGAATTCGAAAAGAAAGGATATTTCTTTAAAGGAGAGAAAGGTGTCCTAAAAGGGTCGAAGGAAGTATTGAGAGGGGTGAAGAAACAAGGCTTGTATACCCTTGAGGATGAGGTTGTAAGTGGTTTGACAAATGTTGCATCCATGAAACCCGTGTCGAAGACAGAATTATGGCACATGAGATTGGGCCATGTTAGCAAAAGAGGCCTGGTTGAATTGGGGAAGCAGAACCTGCTATGTGGTGACAAAGTCAAAATTTTGGAGTTTTGTGAATCTTGTGTATTTGGTAAATCCTGCAGGGAGAACTTTAACAAAGGCAAGAAAATAACACATGGTTCCCTGGATTACATCCATGCTGATCTTTGGGGGCCTACAAGGAATCATTCACATGCAGGTGCAAGGTATTTTCTATCTATAGTTGATGACTATTCTAGAAAATTATGGGTATTCATTTAAAATACTAAAGATGAAACTTTTGAGAATTTCAAAAATTGGAAGGTTCTGGTCGAAACTCAAATTGGCAGAAAGGTTAAAAGGTTGAGAACCGGCAATGGGCTTGAGTTCTGCAACGAAAATTTCGACAATTACTCTGTTAAGTCTAGAATTGCAAGGCATAAGATTGTAGCAGGTACTCCTCAACAAAATGGCTTAGCCGAGAGATTCAATGGAACAATCCTTGAAAGGGTTAGATGCATGTTGGTTAGTGTTGGATTGAAGAAGGTGTTTTGGGTGAAGGCTGTTTTGCAGCAACTTATCTAATAAATAGATGTCCCTCGACTGCCTTGAGAATGAAGACACCTGAAGAAGTTTGGTCGGGTCAGCCACTAGATCTAGACAAACTAAGAGTATTTGGTTGTTCTCACATTAGGCAAGACAAGGTCAAACCTAGAGCTCTAAGATGCATGTTCCTTGGATATCCTGAAGGAGTCAAAGGTTATATGTTGTGGTGCCTAGAACTAGGTTACAGAAGATGTATCATAAGTCGTGATGTAGTTTTCAATGAAGTTGAAATGGCGTTAAAGAAAATTGGTGATGCTGGTCGAAGTGCAGAAATCTCTGAAGAGGAGCTGGAATAGATAGAGATTCCTGTTGAGGTGGAACATAGTGATGCTGAAGTGCTTAACCCATATGAAGTTGAAGAAGAAGAGCAAAATGCTAAAGAGACTGAGGAAACTGTCGATGACTACCTACTGGCAAGAGATAGGTCGATAAGAGTCATCAAACCACCTCAAAGACGTGGTTATGTAAACCTTATAGCTTTTCCTTAATCTCTACAAGTGAGGTACTTGAGGAAGAACCTAGAGACTACAAGGAAGCTATGAGGAGTCAAAATCATAATAAATGACGAAAACCCATAGATGACGAGATGAAATATCTTCATGATAATAACACTAGAGAGCTTATTAAGAAACCTGCAGGAGCAAGGTTAGTCAGTTGTAAGTGGATTTTCAAGATCAAGGAAGGAATCGAAGGAGTTATGTTGAAGCACTTTAAGGCAAGGCTGGTCGCTAGGGGTTCACTCAGAAAAAAGGCGTCAACTTCAATGATGTGTTCTCACCTGTTGTAAAGCATAGATCCATTAAAATATTGTTGGCCATGGTGGCGAAGTTCGACTTGGAACTTTAGCAAATGGATGTGAAGACAAAATTTCTGTATGGTGACCTAGACGAAACGACCCTGATGCGTCAACCTGAAGGGTATGCAGAAAAGAATAAGGAAGATTATGTGTACAAGTTGAATAGATCTTTGTATGGCCCGAAACAATCTCACCGACAATGGAAAAAGAGATTTGACAAGTTCATGGCACACATTGGTTTCACTAGGAGCTAGTTTGATCACTGTGTTTACTTTAGATTTCGACTTGGAAATTCACTTGTTATTTTGTTGTTTTATATGGATGATATCCTCATAGGTAGCAACAGTGTCGAGGATGTAATGAAGGTGAAGGATGAACTCATAAAGGAGTTCGAAATGAAGGATTTGGGAGCTGACACTAGAATTCTTGAGATTAACATCCAGAGAGATAGAAAGCAGTCGAAGTTGTGCTTATCTAAAGACACATACCTACGAAAGCTTCTCGACAAGTTTGGTATGTTGAATTCAAAGCCAATTGCGACTCCAACAAATCCTCAGTTTACGCACAGTACTACTCAAAGTCCGAGTACTGAAGCTGAAAGAATCTATATAAGTAGTATTCCATATGCTAGTGTAGTAGGTTCTTTGATGTATGTTATGGTCTGTACGAGGCCAGACATAACGTATGGTGTGAACCTTGTAAGCAAGTATATGGTCAATCCTGGAAAGGCGCACTGGCAAGCTGTAAAGTGGATTCTCAGGTACATAAATGGGTCTCTGAAAAGAGTCTTAATTTATGGTGGAGCTTGTGGTGGTGATAACATAGTCGAAATCGAAGGATTTGTCGACTCTGATTATGCAGGTTGTATGGATTCCAAAAATTCTATTTCTGGATATGTGTTCACTATGTTTGGCACAACAATCAGTTGGAAAACAACACTTCAGAAGGTTGTTGCCTTATCAACCACTGAAGCAGAATATATTGTCTCTAGTGAAGCTGTGAAAGAAGCATTATGGCTTGAAGGTTTTGCAAAGTAGCTAAAACTTCAAGGTCGAAGTATCACTGTTAAATGTGATAGTCAAAGTGCAATACACCTGTCGAAGAACTCAGCCTATCATAAGCAAACAAAACACATCGATGTGAGGCTGGACTTCGTCAGATAGGTAATCGAGTGTGGTGAAGCCCATGTGCCGAAGGCTTCCACCAATAACAATGTTGCTGATATGATTACCAAGACGTTGCCAAGTTGTAAGTTTTTCTACTGTATGCAATTGATAAAGCTGCATGATGAAAGATAGTTTATTCCCTGTTTTTGTAAAGTTAGATCCAAGGTGGAGATTTGCAAGATTTTGGGTCGAACTCTATCTCTGTCGAGGAATAGCTTTTATGTGTTTCGACAGAAGACAAACATGAAGTCGAAGATGGGTCGCATGCTGGGCTCAAGGTTCGAAGGATACATATTGTAGTTAAAGTCAGTTCTAATATGTATTGCCAAAATGTATGTCGAATTGGAACTTGTGTTAAGAAACCAATTATTTAGTTAGCTTGGGTTGCATGTTATCTAGTTAGTCTATAATTAGGCTAGACCACTCAGGTTGTTGAGTGAGGCCAATTGTGATATTCATTTATAATCATTTGTAAACCCTTATGAGAAAGTGGATAGTAAACAATTTGCCCTAATTCTTCTTCTTCTTTCTTCTTTCCCTCTTTGTTCTAACTGTTTTATTATTCACCCAAGAACTCCGTTTCTCAATCTTAATTTGTTGAAAGGTATCATTTGTGATCAAAACACTTACTACAACACTTCACAAATATTACCTATTTCTAAATTAAAAAATTAACTTTCATTTATATAATTTCTTAGTATTCTAAAACACACTTAAGATTATTATTAGTTATTAATAATTTATAACAATAAATGAGTGCTCCCTTCCTTAGTAATTTTCAAGCATAAAATAATAATGATTGGAGAAAATATTACAAACATTATATTAAAAAATATATGAGTATACATTATCAACCATCTCTTCATAAAACACCTAGCAAACATCATTTTTATAGACCACTATGATATTTTTGTATTGGAGTTGACCTATAATGAATATTAGGATGTTCACCATGAAAATATTATAGGACAAATCCATATTCCTCCGATATCAAATTATCCTATAATATTTTGAAATTGTCTCCCAAGTCCCAACATCTCATGAAAATTACTATCAAAATCAAATAGTCATTCATTATTTCCTACCATGTAATTACTACACTTTGAATGAAAGAATCATACCACTTATTTGACACTTGTTCATCTGCAACAAACTAAGTATGATTGACATTTTCATCCATACCAGGACTTTCATTTGATAATGCCCCAGTTTTTGACAAATGTAATATTCTACACATTCTTTACTACACTTGACACATTTTTTTGTGAACAAATAAATTACTCTGCAAATCCATCGATTCACAATACTTAATATTTGATTTGTCTTTTTCACACAATTTACAATTGCTAGAGCGCATGAAAAAACTTCATCATCAAATTCATCTTCTTTTATAAAAACAACTTTAAATTCACGTCAATTGAACTTGGTTCATCTTCGTTAAACTTCATTATTCATTATTCATGACTCTAGTTTCATATTTAAATATAAAAAACAGAAAAATTAGAAGAATTAAAACAGGGAAACGAGTATTTGAACATTTGTTTACTAGTACATCCAGATTTTCCTCATGCAGGTAATTAACCTTGAAGAAATTAATCCTAACTCTGCTTGCTTACTTACTTTTATTAGTTATAGTAATTTTTTGATCTCTTCCATTTCTCCTTAGGAGATAATAATTGGATTTGAGTTCTGTATCAATGCACCTGTTTGATCAAGATCGAACTATTCAAATTTGAACGGTTTAATCTGAATCAGATACCTACCGACGTTGTTGACTAGGTCCAACTCCATTTATGGGATGTGATTAAATTTCTATTTGTAATGCTACTAGTCCTTTATATCCAAAGTGGCTCCCACAATGAATTTAGACTATTGTTGTCCTCATGAAAGTTCAAACCAATTTGATAGGCATTACTATGCGAAGGACTTTGAATGAAACCATCGATAGATTGTTGTGGTGATTCTTGTTCACTTTGTGACATGCAAAATAAAGCCACAAGATTAGCTTGTTGGAGTTGCATGTTTACAACCTCTGCTTGTGATTTCGCCAATTGTGCTTGAAGCTCATTCACCTGGTTTTGGAGTTGGCAAATTGCGCCAGCACAACCATAAACAGGATCTCTAATTCTTGCACTCGCCTCATAAACCATGCTTGTCACTGCATCAGCTCTTTGAGCCTCAGGTAGTTCCTATATTTCCAACAACAAAAAACTTTAGATACTAAAATGCACATCAGCTGTTCGTTAGTTAGACTAAACCAATGCACACCAGGTGTTTGTCAGTTAGTTAGACTAAACGAATGCACACCAGGTGTTTGTCAGTTAGTTAGACTAAACGAATGCACACCAGGTGTTTGTCAGTTAAACTAAACGAGTGTAAACTCAACCAGTAACACCGGCATTACTCGTAAAGAAGTAAAATGCACAAATAGATAATTATAAAAGTAGTGTTTTTTTTTTTACCTGTAGGAATTTGATGATGTTGCTAGCACCAAAGACTCTATGAGCAATGGTAAACTTGGCAGGATCAGTAGGAGGAAAATAAGGAGCCAAAACACATTTATCAGGAGAACATCTTCTCCTCAAAATCTTGCAAGCAGCACAAGGGCTCATAACAACAACAGCTTGTGGAGGTGAATTAGATGAAGAAGTTGAAGAGTTATGAGAAAATGGAACAGAGCACGTGTCACTAGTAGTAGTTTCCATTGTTGTTTGTTTGGTTTGGAAACTAGAGATTGTGGGAATATTTATAAAGGAAAATGTGATGTCAGTGTATGTCAGTGTTGAAATTGGTTAACTAACGTGGCTGCTTATGGTTTCCCACTTCTACGTTAGGTGTTTGGATTTTTGGCTCATTGTATGAAAACTCTTCAATATCTTTGAAAAACAACGTTTCCAAACACCACTTTCTAGTTGAATTTCTTTTTTCTACAACTTTTACTTTGATGACTGATTATGGAAAAAACTAATTGAATTAAAATTATAATAATAGCCACAAGTGATTTTTTTTCATATACAAACAGATTTTGCATTTTCAAGAAAAATCTTTGTGGTTTGCCTAACTTGCCCGGTAACATGGAACTTGCCTTTCATTAAAAAACAAAACTTATCCTTAACTTAAATTTTCCTCTCTAAGATAAGAATAAGGAATAGTAAAGTTACAACAACAATCAACCTTCTACTGTCTCAGAACTATCTATTTTTAGAGACAGATAATTGGAGTTTATGAGTGGAAAATGATGGTGTCTAGTGTTACATATCCTTATAGTGCTCTTGTGAATTTTTTAGATTTGAATCCTCCTTGTCTGTGTTGCGCTCATTGCAACCGTTCATTCACATGTCTTTTTTTTTTTTTTTTTTTTTAAATTGTATTTTTTTATTATTTGTTTTTTTGAACTCTTGTATAGTTTCGAGTACTATTTTTTCATAGTGGACTCTTTTAGAAATGATATCTTCTTTTAGCAACTCCTACGAGATAAGGTTATTATTAAAAAAATTGTTTTAAAGAATAATCATTTTTGACTCTATTAACCTTTTATGTGGATTATGTGTTTGCACTTATAGAGTTGTCTCACTTGTTTATCAATGTGAAGTTAAATTTGTGATATAACATTTTTTATTGGCTTGGGAGAATAGTGGTCCATCCAAGAGGTGCTAACTCATTTTTTTTAATCTATCTTAAAGAATTGGGTTAGTATTAGAGGTGAATTTATCATGATTTGAAATTTAGTTTTGTTAACTATTTTTTAAAATCTTGAAATAATGACATTTTTACACGTAAATCGATAAACAAAAAGATAGGGAAGATAAAAACATTTCTCTTACATGAAAATGATTTTTTTTATAGGTCTTTGACTTACTCACGTGTTTTTTTTTCAACCGACTTACGAATTCAATTATATGATTGAGCTAATACCAATTCAAGAGTTTTGATATGTTTTTCTTGGGATTGGGGTTGGGGTCTTAATCTACACTCGGAGGATGTAGTTATGTTAAGAGTAATTCTTATTCTTAAGCTCTAGTTTGTTTCTCATTGGTAGTATGAGTGGTCATTGAAGTTTTTGCCACTTGTACATGCTCTTTATTGTTGCCTTTTCTTTGTATTTGTTTGTTGGACATTTTTTATTCGGAAATACTCTTGCACCTAGGTATTGATATAATTTTGCTGGGCCCTTAAGATAGTCGATGAAAAAGAAGGAAGGCTAGGAGCTAGGGCGAGGGGAGAGCTACTCTGCAAAGCCAGAGGCCGCCCGAATTAGTTATACGGTCGCCCGAAAGGGGAACGAGGTCGCCTTGATTGGGATCCTGATGTTCACTCGTCCAGTTAACGTTTGAGATGACGTGGATCAATAATGACTAACCGAAGAAAGTCGGTCAAAGGAGGAAAGCACTTCCTCCCGAATTCTAGGAAGAGCAAGGCTTCCCTTGACCAATTTCTTGATCATGAAGTTAGGGTGTAACAGTCCAATAACTCTATAATTCATGCCCAAAAGAGCATCTATAAATACCTCAGTCTGAGGATTAAGAAGGACAAATCATAACATACACAAAACACCTAAAGCATCACGCTTGTATCCTTAGCCACTCACCTTGCATGAGTTGGTCTTTAAAACCACAATAAACACCGTAAAACCACCATACATGGCTTCTCGCTGTTGTAAGCAAGCCCTAACCACCCTAAAATGTTATAAACCTAATAAAGCCTCTAAGTATCCCTTACCCTTGTAGGGATACCACACATATTTGTACTTATTGACCAATACAATGGCGCTCACCCTGGGGTTTTAATGAGGCACCCTCTCTCTTTCTAAGTCTCTACATAGTGTATGTAAAAAGGCGGAAGAACCCAAATGCTATTGAAAATGTTGGACTTCCATAAGAATATCCTTGCCACCCTACTAGGTGAATACAAATTTTGGACTTCCACCGGAAGATAGGCGAATACAAATGTTGGACTTTCACCTGAAGATCCTTGTTATCCTACAAGGCAAATACAAACGTTGGATTTCTACAAGAAGATCCTTAATGCCCTACAAGGAGAATACAAATGTTATACTTCTAACGGAAAATCCTTGCCTCCATACGAGGCGAATAAAAATGTTGAACATTCACTGAAGGGTCCTTGCCACCCTAGGAGGAAACTATCTTTTGGACCTTCACTAAAGGATCATTGTTGCCCTACGAGGAAATTATCTACTAGACCTTCACTGAAGGATCTATGTCGCCTTATGAGGCGAATACATCATTAGTTTGTCATATAACAAGCCTTGATTCCTTAATAGGTTACTCATTCAAAACCAAATACTATGCATAACGTACATGATATTGAAAATTTAACTCGCGTCGAGTAATGCTTGAAGGAAACGCCCGCATGAGAAACTTGGAGTTTCCTTGGGCAGGATCTAACCTTAAAGTCTCGCCTAAATGACGCGACTGAATTCTAACATAAGAGACTACCTTAAAGTCTTTTCTGAGGGCTTTATAAAAGTCCCACTCGAGAGTTATAATGCCACATCTAAGGGACTTATAGTCTCATCAGTTAGGCCCAATATACAATCCCGCCCAAAGGACTGAGAGTCTCATCAAACAAGCTTATCTAAACACATTGTTTGAGGTACTAAGAGTCTCATCAGTCAAGATCAATATACAATCTCTTCTGAGGGACTGAAAGTCTAATCAATCAGGCTTATCTCAACGCACCGTCTGAGGGATTGAGAGTCTCATCAATCAAACTCAATATACAATCTCGCCTGAGGGACTAAGACTCTAATCAAACATGCATATGTCAACTTAACCTTTCCCAAGGAACTTGGAGTTTACTCTGGCGTGATCTAGCATAAATTCTTGCCAAAGGGACGCGACTGAAGTCTATCATAAGAGACTTAACTTAAAGTCATTGTCTGGGGCTTGATAGAATTCCCACTCAAGAGGTCTCACACCTGGCCTAAAGGACTTGAAGTCTCGTCATCCAGGCTCAACATAACCTTACCTGAGGGACTTGGAGTTTCCTCGGGCGGGATCTAGCCTAATGTCTTTCTTAAGGGACGCGAGAAAAGTGTAGCCTAATATACTTAACTTAAAGTCTTGTCTGATGGCTTAATAAAAGTTCCGCCAAAGAGGTATTATGCCGCGCCTAAGGGACCTCGTGCCTCACCGACTAGGCTCAATATAATCTCACATTAGGGAATAAGAATCTCATTAAACATGCATATCTAATGACCTTTTGAGTAACTAACAGTTTCCTTGGACTGAATCCAACTTAAAGTTTTGTCTAAGGGACGCGACCGAAGTCTAGCCCAAAGGACTTAAATTAAAGTCTTGTCTTAGGGCTTGATAAAAGTTTATTTCAAGAGGTCCAATTCCTTGCTTAAGGGACTTGAAGTCTCATTAGTTAGGCTCAACATATAATCTCGTATGAGGGAATGAAAGTCCTATGAAACACATTTATCTAACGACCACCTAAGTAACTAAGAGTTTTCTAGGGCGGGATCCTACTTAAAGTCTCGCCCAAGGGACGCGAATGAAGTCTAGCTTAAGAGACTTAACTTAAATTCGTGTTTGAGAGCTTGATAGAAGTCCTGCTTGAGAGGCTCACTGCCTTGCCTAAGAGACTTAGAGTCTCATCAGATAGGCTCAATATAAATTCTCGCCTAAAGACTTGGCTATAAAGCCTTACCTAAGAGACTCGACTATTAAGTATTGCTTGAGGGACTCGACTATTAAGTATCTCCTGAAGGAATTAGAGTCCTACTAAATAGTATCATCTAAACGCCTCGCATGAGGGGCATACGTTCTCATCAGACAGGATCGACATAAAGTCTCTCCTAAGAAACTTGAATATTAAGTCTCGCCTTAAGGACTTAGAGCCCACCGAATAGGATTATCTAAACGCCCTGCCTAAAGGACTTAGAGTCCCACCAAAAAGGATAACCTAAATGCCTCGACTGTGGGACTTAGAGTATCATCAGATAGGTTCGACATAAAGTCTCTCCTAAGAGACTTGAATATTAAGTCTCGCCTAAAGGGCTTAGAGTCCCACCAAACAGGCATATCTAAATTCGTCGCCTTAAGGATCTATAGTGCCACAAAATAGGCTCATCTAATTTCCTCGCTTGAGGCACTTAGAGTGCCGCCAAAGAAGCTCATTTAAACGCCTCGCCTGAGAGACTTTGAGTCTTATTAGACAAGCTCAACATAAAATCTCTCCTAATAGACTCGACTATAAGGTTTCACCAAAGAAACTTGACTATTAAGTGTTGCATAAGGGAGTCGACTATTAAGTCTCTCCTGAAGGACTGTGTCCCACCAAACAGGCTCATATAAACGCCTCGCTTGAGGGGCTTAGACTCTCATCAGACAGGCTCCACATTAATTCTCTCCAAAGAGACTTGAATATTTATTCTCTCTATAAGGACTTAAAGTCCTACCAAACAGACTCGTCTAAACGCCTTGTCTGAGGGACTTAGAGTCTTATCAGACATGCTCGACATAAAGTCTCGCCTAAGAGACTCGGCGATAAAGTATCGTCTAAGGGACTCGACTATTAAGTATCGCCTGAAGGACTTAGATTCCCACCAAACTGTCTTATCTAAACTCCTCATCTGAGAGACTTAAAGTATCATCAAACAGGTTCAACATAAAGTCTTGCCTAAGAGACTTGACTATAAGATCTCGCCTAAAAGACTTGACTATTAAGTATGGCTTGA